GGGGGGGGGGGGGGGGGGGGGGTTCTGCAAAAAAGACAGGAAGAGCCACACAGTGGCCCTGCATGGCCATGAACTTTCTGACTACAGGGACCAGACCCTGCCCGCTCATCCATGTCTGGCCTCTGCCTGGTGATTAGCAAGCCCACTTCTCTTGGGAGGCTGTTATAGAGAGGGGCTGCAGAAAGGCAAATCGCAGAGAGCAAAACCGTTCCCTCTTCTACTGGCAGGGGTAAGGATGTGGGGAGAGCGGGCAAATGTTTTTACAGGCCCGGCCAGCATGGCTCAGTGGTTGAGCGTCATCCCATGAGCCAGAAAAATCACTGTTCGATTCCCGGTCAGGGTACATGTCCGGGTTGCGGGCTCAGTCCCCCATGTGGGGCTTGCAGGAGACAGCCAATCAATGATTACTTCTCATCATTGATGTTTCTATCTCTCTCCCACTCTCCTTTCATCTCTGAAATCAATAAAAATATATATTTTTTAAAATGTGTTTGCAGTCCTTCACATCATCCTCTTCACCTCTTTCCACTCTTCCAGGATGCCACATCCAGTGGGATCCAGCGTGTGCTACCCTAGAAGTCTGGCCTACACTGTCCCTCCTCTCCATTCCCACTGCAGCTGGCTTCACTCCAGCCCTTTATCTCTCATATGGTCTCCTGTAAGAAATTTCTAAATGAATCCCCTACCTCCATCCATTCATAAATACTTCCCAGTGTCCTGCTAGGTATCAGAGATATGGTGGCAAACTGGGAAGATGAAGCCCAGCTCTGGAGGAGCTCAGGAGCTGGCAGAAAGACAATGTCAAACAATTGCAGAGGAGGCAAGGACAAAGAACAGGGCGTGCAAGTGCCACCACCGATTCTCATCATAGGACCGACTTACTCTGGGAGAGTCAGGAAAGGCACCTGAAAGGATGGTAAAGCTGGGACCTGGAAGATAAGTAAGTGTTGATGTTTGATGGAGCAGGAATTGCTCCCAACAGACAGAACAGGCTCTGAGGCACCAAGCAAGAATGGAGAATGGAAGAAAGCCAACGTTGATCAAGGGGAGGCTGATTCGTGGTCAGAGGAAGAAGTAAGCAGAGGCGTTCGGGAGGTCTGCAGACATCATGGTCAGGGAGAAAGGAAGCTGCGACTGAGCTCAGTTGGATCGTGACACAATGGGAGACACACCTTTACAAAAGAGCCGTCATCCTTATGGGAGTTCTAAAGAATCTGTTGTACATTGAACAGAGTTTGCAATTGGGTCAGTCCTTCTAAAATACAAAACATTTGCTACCCATGGTGTTTGGAATAAAATCAAACTCCTTAATCTACCTAAAAGGCCTTTTTTAAGCTGCTGGCCCCAATCTACCTTTTGTTACCTCTCATCTCTGGGCCTTAGCACATGCTGTTCCTCCAGCCTGGAATATCCTCCTTTGCTACCCCAGTGAACTCCTACTTATCCATCAAGGCCCTACTCAGATGTCACATTCTCTAGAACCAACTTTTCCCCTACTACCTCCTTCTCCCAGGCAGAAAGGGGAACCCACCTCTCCTATAGCAATTTTTCCTCCCACATGACGGTCTCCCACTCTATAAAGGTCATGGCAGGCGTCCTTTACTTACTTATTCTTAGTGCCTGGGGTAGGGTGGTGCCACAATAAATTCTGGTTAAAAGGAACTGAAGAATGTATTTCCACATTGATAAGCTAAGTGATG